CAAATTACCTTGTCAAAGAAGAACACTGAAGCTCTTTCTCATCATATAAAATAACCCATGTCTTCGATGACTAATTTTCTTCAGTTTGATCTGAGAAGTTCATATATACATACTAATATAAACTAAAAGTCAAATGTTCTAAACTATGCTTTAATTTATAAAAGATGGTTATTTATGGTGGTCTAAATTCTTGGGAAAAGGGAAGACTAAGGCAATAAGCAATTTACTAGTGAATTACATTTATTTTTCTGAAAAAAAAAAAAAGAAAACTTGAAAAGCTATTAATTTTAGTGCACTGCTAGTTTAATTTTAACATATAAGGCAAAATTAGAGACAAATATAGCACAAAAAAATGCCAAAATGTAGAGAATTAAAAAAAAAAAACAGTAAAATATCTATTAGGACCAGTAAAACTAGAACTCCTCTCTGCCACACCTACTTTTTATCTTGGAAAATGAATTAGAACTTGGCTTTAAGAGCTTATAGCTGCATCCCAGGAGAAAAAGTTTTTTGGTAAGAAAACAAATCAAGATATTGCTCTATTATAATTAATATTATTTCCATAAAGCACCCTCAAATTTTCTTTTATTAACTATTGAAAGGATACCATCCCAAATAACTTTATTTGATATTTTTGCTATTCTTTTTGAAAGTCAACCTTTTAAATTCTGTTATCTACATGATAAATAATTTATAGACATTAAGATGAACAAATCTTAAATGTATAGTTTGAAAATTTTGTTTTCCTTGTGCAGGCATCTATGAAACTACCACACTTGTCAAATTTCTCAATATTTTTCTCACACCAAAAAATTCCCTTCAACTGCATTGCAGTAAACATTCACCAGCAGAGATAAGGACCATTCTCATTTCTCTCATGTAATATGTTTTGTCTATTGTTGAATTTCTTTTAAATAAAATCTTACAATGTGTATGCTTTTGAGTATCTTCTCCCTAAAATAACAGTCTTTTAGTGATGTATCCAGACTTTAATGTATAAGTTTAAATTTTTAAAATTTATTACCGAGTTTTATTTCACTATGTGAATGTACTATGAATGTAACCTCATCTTGGTATCCATTTCTCAGAAGACCTAAATTAACATAATTGGTAATGGGAGTGGTCTGAGAAACAGATGAAAATGGGGACTTGTAGCTGACTCAATTGGCCTGGTGGCCAATAAGATTTCACTGCAAATGGTAGGGTTCCCAGGCGACTCAGTGATAAAGAATCCACCTGCCAATGCAGGAGACGCAGGTTCAATTCCTGGCTCAGGATGATCCCCTGGAAGAGGAAATGGCAACCCACTCCAGTATTCTTCCCTGGAAATTTCCATGGACAGAAGAGCCTTGCAGGCTACAGTCCATGGGCTAATAAAGAATTGGCTATGACTGAGTTAGTGAGCATGCATTCACACAAGTGATAGATGGGACACAGACCCTGGCTTAGTGTAGTTGGCTGATGGCTAAATATTTCATGGGTGGTGATCTGGGAATACAACCTGTTGGAAAGTAATGCTATTGCAGGTGAATGATTCTTTTATTTGAAAGAAAGAGAAGAGAAATTCCTACAAAGAGTGCAGTTGTTTGCTTATTGTAAGTTGTATTGATGCCTTGAAATAAAAAGAAATTGAAAGCTATTAACTAACAAACGTTAAAGGTTAGGTGTAAGGACTTAAAAACTCTTTGGTAGTTTACGGAGAGTTCCTTGTCTCCTGAATAAGGAGACACAGACAAGCAAGATACTGAAGATCTAACAGAGCTACACAAGTATGCCTTTAGAATATCCTTCACCTTTGAAACTGTTAGTTACTCAGTAGTGTCTGACTCTTTGCAACCCCATGGACTGTAGCCCACCAGTCCTCTGCCCATGGAATTCTCTAGGCAAGAATAGTGAAGTGTGTTGCCATTCCCTTCTCTAGAGGATCTTCCACAGTTACACAGATCCAAAAAAGTACAAACACTCTAGGCATGTGTATCATGATAAGGTCAGAGCATTGGTAGGGAAAGATTTAAAACCATGAAATATGGAGTGAGTACATCTGGATAAATGTCCCAGCAGACTTTGCTTCTACAGACTCCTCGACATCAGTAAGAGCTAGAGCTTTCTGCTCAAGGAGCTTCAGAGGCCTCGTTTCTGCAAGGAAATAGGTCATCTTTTAGGCCTGGACTTCCTCTTCTGCATAATAACTAGAGTAAAAGCCAAGCATAACCCCTGGGATATGCTGGGCCTGATAAAAATGAAAGAGACTGTATACTAAAGTAATTGTGAGATTTTACTGTCATGTTCTGGCAGGAGCCATGAGACTATTATTGAAGGGAGTCGTGAAACTATTATTGAAGGGAGTATTCATGCATTGTTCTTTTCATTCCAAAGGGAATCCTTATGACAGTTGTTTTTAATTCTCAGTCAGGTAAATCATGAAGTCTGTTTCATTACTGTCAGTTTCTGGAGATTTACCTTGCTTCTTTATTTGGAACATTTTTGCCTGATTCTCTGTTGATTCTCTGTGTTGGTCTCTAAACATTAGACCATGCACTCACCTCTGCCAGTCTTCACAGATTGGCCTTATACAGGTGGGGGTCCTCACCAATAAACCTGAACAGAGGTTCTGGAGACCTCTGCCAATGGTTTCCCTCCTCAGGAGGAAGCATGCCTCTTGGCAGAGATTTTTGTTTTCTCACTCCGTGGACAGATCGTGGTGGGGTATGTGGTGGAGCTTTGGCATTCTAGAAGCCCAATCTGCCATATCCATTGTACCCCAGCACCTTGACTCTGTCAGAACCATCACAGCTCCAAGCCTGGTGAGATAAGTACTAGCTCTTTGGGAAGCCTCTGTGAAGTTGGGATGCTAGATCCATAAATTAACTCTTCCTTTAGAGGTGGAAGCTGAGAGCTAGAATTTTTTATCCACCCATTCTGTGCTCAGTTATGGAGGATCAGTGATATAACTGGCCCAGCTAACTGCCTCTGTCTTCCCCCAGACAGCCAGACTGTGACAGACCTGTCAGAGCTCCAAGACTAGCAAGACCTGAATCTCCTTGCCTGATTTGGTGAGTCTGGTTTTTCATTCTCCAGGAGTAAAAGAGACTTTCAATTGGTTTCAGAGTTCTCACAAAGAAAATCTGTCCTCAAATTGCTATTAAATTGGTGTGTTTGTTGGAGAGCAATGGTCCAGGGATTCCTCCTCTCATGTTGCTCATGTCACTCTTAGCATCAGGTAGTGAGGTAAGCTGTGACATGAATGAGTCTTGAAAACATTGAAGAGAAGCCAGTCTAAAAAGACCACATCCTTGCTTCCCTCAGACTCCCGGCTCTAGGCAACCATTAGTCTGCTTTTTGCTTCTAAGGGTTTGCCTATAAAGGACATTTCATACAAATGGACTCATGTAAGGTGTAGTTTTTAGTGACTCATTTCTTTAACTTAAACAAATGTTTTCAAGATTCATGCATAGTGTAGCATATGCCAGTACCTGATTCATTTTTATTGCCAAATAATATTCCATTGTATGGATATAGCATGTTTTATTTATCCATTCATTAGTTGATGAACATTTGCGTTTTAACATTTTTACTAGTATGATGAAAGCTGCTACAATAATTTTAGTATAACTTTTTGGGGTGTACATGTGCCTTAATTTTTTCGAGGGTGTATTTGGAGCGAAATGACAGGGGCACGTGGTGATTCTATATTTAACATTTTTGAGGAACTGCCAAAATTCTCTCCAAAATGGTTACACCATTTTGTATTCCATCAGCAGTATATGAGGGTTCCAGTTATTCTACATCCTTGTCAACCCTTGTTATTTGTCACCTTTTGATTATAGCCATCTTAGAGAAATAATCATAATTTTATGAGACAATTTTAGGTATAGTATAACACTGTTTCACTGGCAATCTTTTATGAGCATTCTGATCAGTAATATGTTATAGGTTATTTTGACATTTGTGAACTACTAAGCATGAATTTAGCTTGCCATACAGTTTAAAGAAACAGGCTACCAACATGTTGTAAAGAATCCGAGCATTGTGCTTGAACAGCACCACTCTGGATGAGCATGAGGATGCACTGAATGGAGAAAAAAAAATCTATATGCTTCTTTAGGATTAATTTCAAAACTATTGCCTAGAACAAGAAAAAATGTTTGGTCTCTTGAATTGGGGAAGAATATTTAAGATTAGCCATCAATAAGTTTGGGATTCTGAATTCAGCAAGAAATGCCCCCTTCCCCTCAACACTAACAAGCTTAATTTACTTATAATTGCAATAAAAATTGCAAGCTTACCAAAGACAATTGAACCATAGTTTAAGCACTTGGAAAGAACAAGTTACATGGCATATTACATAAAATTTAAAAAAATGTGCTTCTACTTTTATTTCCTTAGGTTTGAAAGTCAACTGTGCCTAGAAATGGTATTTCTTAGAGTGTTTGGTTTCAAGGTTGTTCTGTGCAGTTCTATTGAAATTGCCCTTCTATTGTTTTTTCCCTTTGTAATCTTATGTTCAATCTAGCATTTTTTTATTTATGATGCTGTCAAATATAATTTTTTATTCTTACATTTTCTCTGGTTCAAATTCTTCCAATCATTATTTGTTTAGGGTGTCTCATTTAATGATAGTATAAATGACTGTCAGTTGTATAAATGATAATTATTTATAAATGACTATGAGTATAAATGATAGCATTATGACTGTCATTAACAACCCATATCAATTAAAGTAATCTCTAACAGTATTCACCATGTTTTTATATTTATTTCTTCACTAGCAAATATATATTGCCTGTATCATAAAGTATTTAATGATTTTTATATGTCTATTTTGCTGGGATCACTAATTATCATATAACAGCATTGTGTAAATTTAAAATATATTATCATTAATTTTTTCTGCATCAGTTATGATTCTAAAATAAGAAAGTAAAACCATGTATTACATATGTATTCAAATTATATTAGCACTATATTTGAAAGCTGGGTTACTTATACAGTTCTAAAATCTAAAAGTTCTGTGTGGAGCTAACATTTTGGAACCTTAATTTTTTCATGGCCTCTTGCATTTTCTGATTTCTCAAGGTGTAAATAACAGGATTCAATAAGGGTGTGATAACAGTGTAAAATACAGCAAGGACTTTATTGCTGGCGAAACTCTTGAAAGGCCAGGCATAGATGAGGACACACGGCCCGAAGAACAGACTGACCGCGGCGCTGCAGGCAGACAGTGTGGACAGGGCTTTGGAGAGGCCCCCGGTGGCCTGCGTTGCACGGCGGCCAGGATGAGAGCGCAGGAGACGAGCAGGAGGAGGACACAAACCAGTGAGCTCAGTCCACTGTCAGCAATGACGAGTAATTCCAGGGTGTGCGCTTCCACGCACGCAGGCTTAGTCACAAGGGGAAGGCCACAAAATGTATTGTCTATGATGCGGGGGCCACGGAAAGGCAGGTGTACCGCCAATACCATCTGACTCATGGTGTGTATAAAACCGATTGTCCATGAAAGTATAACAAACCCGTTCAGCAACCTGTGGTTCATGATTTTCCTGGAGTGCAGGGGTTTACAGACGGCCACATATCTGTCAAAAGCCATGGCTACCAGAAGAGTCATCTCAGCACCTCCAAACAAGTGCATAAAGAACATCTGAGCCATGCAACCCCGTATAGAGATGGTCTTGTGTTCAGTGAGCAAGTCTCTGATCATCTTGGGTGTGGTGACCGTGGAGAGACACATGTCCAAAAAGGAGAGGTTTCCGAGGAGGAAGTGCATGGGAGAATGAAGGGTGGAACTGCAAGTCACTGTGACCATAATGAGAGCGTTTCCCAGCACAGTAGCCCCATAGATCAAGGAGAATGTCACAAAGAAGACAATCTGAAGTTCCCATCCTGCAGAAAATCCTTGTAAAATGAACTCAGTCACTACAGATCCATTTTTCAGATCCATTTACTCAACTCAGAAAGATTCCAGATGTTCTTTATATACAAAGAGAATTTTTTTTAAAAGCCACAATTAGCACTGACATGGTGTGCAAAGAGTCAAACACAATTTATCAAATGAACTTCAACAAAAACACTCACATTTTTTATTTCTATTTGATGAATAACAATTGGTGATACGAGAATAGATAGTCTTAAATCTCAGATCTTTTGGAGCTGTTTTCTCAAATCCTTTTATCATCATTGTTCACAGTGAAGAGTTTGTGTGTTGTGTGCAAATGGTATGTCGTGGTTTAGAGTAAATAGTGAAATGATTCAATCCTAATGTATAGATATTGCTTTGGTTGTAATATATCACACTAAATTTTCTTTGCTGAGCTTCTCAGATGTCATTCTTAGGATGTAGAGTGATCAAAATTAATTATAATTATGTGATGACTACATGATAAGCTGTGCTGTATTTAACATATGTTAAGCTTTACTATTATGAGCATAACAACCCCATTATTATAATTATTCTAATTTTGTATTAAAGAAAACTTGGCATAGATGTTTTAAATGACTTACTCACACCAGCATCTAGGATTGTAGCAAAACACCATATTCCCTCCAAACATAAAGGAATGAATATTTATGGTCAAGTTATTAAATATTGATTGAATTAATATGTTCCATTTACATGAACATAACAGATATGATTCAACAAGTATTTGGAATCCCTCTATGTAATTAACTGCACTTTTTTTCTTATGCAAAAGGAATCAGAACCTGGTATCTCAGGAGTTTACCATCTAGAGATCAATTATCAATCAAAAATTAGCAATGAGACATGTAAGAAAATATTTAATTTAGCACATGATTTGTGAAAAATGTTGTAAGATTTTTTAAAATTGGCAACCAATTCCAAGTGTTGCTTTTAAAACACAGCTTCAAGCGTGTTTGTTTTTATCTTCAAACCATTTTAAAAAGTAAAAAGAAAAGTACTCATGGTCAGTAAATAAAAGGACAAGTCTTAAAGACTGAAGATTTATAAGAAGAAAAGAATTGATAACAGTGAGTAGAAAGAGTGGTGTATTTGGAAAAGTGACTGAATTAAATTTTAAAGATTCTTAGGAAATGTTTGTTTTCTTTTCTCCAATGACCTGTAAATCTCTCCTTGTTTTCAGCTCTGCTTGGTCTCTTGTCAAAATAACTTATCACCCATTATCCAACCTTAATTATCTCAGTTGTTATCTTACCTCCAATATTTTTAAGAAATAGTCAGTGTCTACAAACTAGGGGAAATAAAAGTGAAAAATGATGTAGTTCCTGTAGGTCAACCTCTAGGAGTTGCTAAATGGGGAACTGTGGACTTGGAGGGGCATGCAGAGGACAGTCTCCACACCATGCCTTCTATAACGGTTGTGTTACATGACTATCATGAGAGTGACTGGAAATATTGCTATTGAGACTTTTGTGACAAATTGAAATAACTGCATGCACTTTGGGGAAGTGACATGGCTTGATAACTGTTAGAAAGAATGAACATACCAGCTATCATTTGGGAACCAATACCTTGAATTTTATTTCCCACAATAAAGTAAAAACAGAAAAACTTGCAAATGGGATTAATTTAGTTAAACATAATTGATTAAGAAAGATTTATTTTGGCCTTTTATTTCAGAGGGAAAGCTGGAATTTACTGTGCTGATGACTTTCCCAGCATTTCTGTCTCTTATTCCTCTCTTTCATTTACAAGCAAGATTTCTCAAAATATTTATTTGGTTCTGCACTTAGCATACCTGCTTCTATATTATGAAGGTAAAAAGACTATACAAGTGAAAAGAAATAAATTATCATATAGTTTAGACAAAAATCCTATCAATGAAGAAAATTGTCTTCCTCTTAAATAATTGCACATTTTGTTTTAGTTACCTTTACTCAATTAATGATGCACTTTGCAGGAATTTGAAGACAAAATCACAGTATATTAGAGTTAGGATGGAACTTTGTAATCCCTCGTTCTCTTCAGTAAATGAAAAATCAAGACCCCCATAATTACTTAAATTTTCCCAAGTCTTAGAGGTAGGACCACCCTGAGGAAATGTAGTGATTATTAGGTGAGATGGTGGATGTATAAGCTCATGGCTGGACACAGAATGGGCACAGAGAGGGCATGTGTTGAATCTGAGTCACTCATATAAATCTTATATAATCCTGAGATTTTCCATATAAATATTAGGAAAGGAAGGAGTCAAGACTTGTTTTAGTAAATTGTTGAAAATAAACATTTCTACTCTTGCTCGTGTATATAAGACATAAATTACTTAATATAACAAAGAAAAAGGGGGTAGCAGAGGATGAGATGGTTAGATTGCATCACCAAATCAATGGACATGAATCTCAGCAAATTTCAGGAGATAGTGAAGGACAGGGGAGCCCTGTGTGCTGAAGTCCATAAGGTCACAAAGAGTCAAACACAACTTAGCAGCTGAACAACAAACACTACAAGCATAACTAGCTCAAATAAATATTTTCTTCCATTTTCATTATAGATATTTAAATAAACTATGCATAATTTCTGTCTTGACTAATTTCACCTTTTTCTAAAACTATACATATTTTTGTTAAAATACAGATGAAACTGAAAAAATGCTTAATAAAAGAAGCTGAACACAAAAGACTATATGCTTTGTAACTTCACTTATATTAAATGTCTAGAAAAAGCAAATCTTTGAAAAAAGAACGCATATTAGTAGCCCTTCAGCTGGGGATCGATTGGAGATGGGCATGAGTTTTCTTTCTGCAGTGGTGAAAATTATTTAAAATAAGATTGTGTAAAATAAGATTGTGGTGATCCTTGCACAGCTATGTGAATATAATAATAATCATTAAAATGTGTATTAAATGGGTTATTTTATATTAGGTGATTATGTTCAATAAAACTGTTATGTATTTTTTGCTTTTATTATTAAATTAAAATTATCTTTAATATTTTAATTTAGTGTTTTTAAATAGGGTTTTCTAATACTGTCCAGCTGCTTGTCCTCAAATTTATTTCACCAGAAGACAATTATTGTCACACTGCAATCCAATACAATCTAGCTTTACACTTTTATTAAAGTCTCCTATTTGAATTTATGGTTTTGAATGACATCTATTTGGAAGCTTACTTTTCTCTGTTTTGTTAAATAGATTTTTTGATATTATTACTATTTTGAATACTCATAATGAGATTCCTGAATATGAACATCCTGTAAGGGCTTCTTTGTCTTTACTCTTTAAAATGCCCTATGTATATATGGTATAACCGTAAGTTTCAAACAGCAATTTTCTAAATATCTAGTTCTAAATACCTAAATATCTAGTTCATTAATTCTCCCTTGCCAGCTTCTTTTCCAACTGTAATTATGATATTCTTATGTATATGTACTGGGTATACCTGAAATTTATTAAAAGAAATCTGCAAAAAAAATACTGCAAAAAATAATATGAGTTTCTAGCTTTTCCACTGTTTTCAATGATAGTATGAATTATCTGGATGCTCAGGAATTTATGTTTCTTAATTTGATTCATCATTCTTAATCACTTACCATATACCACCAAATTTATTTGCAATATCATTTTGAGAGCATATACCTTTTAAATGTTCATGGAAATTGTTGATTATAATCCATTGTAAAATAAGTATGTAATTCCATGTCTTGAAAACCATAGTATTTTCCTTCCAGTCAACACACAATTAATTAAAATACCATCTTCAGTATACTGAATTTGTAATGAATTAATCCTCTATAATGTTTTCACTTACTTGCTGTAAAGGCCCATTATGAGAAACAATGTGTTCAAGACGTTATTTGAAATTAGAGATCTAATTTTCACTCTCTCTGATGCCCTTCATGTGGTTCTGGATACTGTTTTCTGCATCTTTTATGAAGACGTGAACCACTTTGGAGGCAAATTTTTTTGGAGCCCTGGGAATCCAAATTTCACTGGGAGTAGTTAAAACATTGGGGCTGCTGTGATAGCATGACCAGGAGAGATGTTCACTCTTAATTTCTGGTCCTGTAATATGCTTTGCTTTCCTTGAACATTGGAATGATTAAAATAGTTATGAGAGTATTGTTTTTTTGTGATATTATAAGTGCAGACAGCTTTGATTTAATGGATACTTCCTTTTCCTCACATTATTCCCAAGCTACAGTCTTACCTTCCTTCTAACACTTTTGTGGTATTATTTCAGATGAATAATCTCTAAACTTTTCTGACCATTACATCTTTAATGG